CCCAAACTTTTCAGTTTACATAAAAACTTATGACTCTAAAAGTTTGCAGTGGACATTTCTACTGAATCATAAAAACAGCTGTGAAATCGCCTCCCACATATGTCGTTGGTTGACCATTTTAATTATCCAGTATTAGTTATAGCAAATTCTTCCCGTATATATTTACTCTTGTTCTCAAAGGTACATAGGTTAGATTAATGCTGGTAATGAAGGTTACTTTCTCCCTGCTAGTAAAAAAGAACTTGAATTACTGAGAATTGGAAGCAGTTGACTAATCTACGGAAGTGGCTAGACAGGGGTTGTTAGAAGTACCCAGTTTGGCCTTTCATTAGTATCTAATAGCCTCACTTGCATTTGCAAAGGCTTGCCCTGCACTTTTTATTGGCCATTTCATTTCTTATTAACTGTGTACTTGTAACATTTTCTCATGCTTTTCTTTTTAATTATTTGGAAGGTTTTCATAGTTTGTTTTTCTTTGAGGTTATCCTTTGGTTGGACATGACAGTGAAATTACAATCTGGAATATATTGCAGGGCACTGGAGGTAAAAGCATTTACGGACGTACTTTCAAGGATGAGAACTTCAAGTGTAAGTTATTCTTGACTTCTCATGCCTCATAGTAGGTTATTAATAATCATTGATGTATTTCTCGAACTTTTGCATCAAGGAACACTCCAGCATTCTAAGAACTGCCTTTTATTGACATGAGATTTTGTTTCTGATGTAATATTAGATATTGAATATGGTAGCGTCCACTTCTGACAATATAGATTATATATTTTTTAAATGTCATTGCAATCATAATTCTTGAATGCGTGCTTTTGCAGTGTCTCATACTGGCCCCGGAGTTGTTAGCATGGCCAATGCAGGGCCCAATACCAATGGTAGCCAGTTCTTCATATGCACGGTCAAGGTACGAGTCATTCATTCTCTATATCATAGAATCAATTTGTCTGAGAAAGCTATGGCATGATTGTTTGAAGCCTCATAACATTGCGGTCCAAAGCAAAAGCGTCTAAACTTTAATTTTCCCTTGCTTGAAAAGTTGAATGGGTTTCTTAGTTTCTTCTCAGAAGGTGGTTGAAGGCTTAGAAGAGGGAGCATTTTGTCACTTGATTATGCTTATATGTAATTTTTTTTTTTTTTTTGTTTCAGACACCATGGCTCGACAACAGGCATGTCGTTTTTGGGCAAGTGGTGGAAGGCCTGGATGTTGTTAAACTAATTGAGTCTCAAGAGACAGACAGAGGTGATCGCCCTACAAAGAAGGTGATCATCGCGGACTGTGGAGAGCTGCCAGTGGCCTAATGCGGATTTTTATCGGTTTTAGTTACTAGTGTTTCCCTTGAATCCCTTCTCCGTTTTGGAAATGTGGGCTTTTGTATTATGTACCCCAGTCAGAGGCTTTTAGTTTGTTTGGCGGATTAGTCCTGCAGCACGAAACGTTTATCATTTTTTCATGCATCTCTGTACTCCTTAACAGTAGAGTTTGATTACTGGGAATGATGGCCAATTGGAGCAATAATATTTTCTTAGGCTAAATAGCCAAAATGGTCCCTGATGCATAACTCCAAAATGGTCCCTGATGTATAACTCATCACTTTGGTCCCTAACATTTCAAAACGATAAAAGTGGTTCCTAAGATTGTCCACCATCCATCATTTTGATCATTCCATTAAAAACTCCGTTAAGTATCCCGGAACTCTTGGTCGAAAGTTTGGGCAATTTTCAAAGCTTTGTAACTCAATCGTTTCTTAACTAAATTTGACCCATGATATATCAAAATGAAGATAGGAAAGTGTATAATAAGATTATACCTATTTGGAAGCCCAATGGTTGCCGGAGATGGCCGGAAAATAGCTTCAAAGTTGACTGTTCCGAGGGAAAACTTAAAAACTCGCCGGAAACTGGGTAAACTTTAAACGTTCATAACTTCTTCAATACTCAACGAAATCAAGTGATTCAAAAACGAAAATCATAGTTCTCGACGAGATGAAGAGAATGGTACATTTTTAGATGGCTAAATCACCGTGGTTTGGCCGGAAAACGGCTCGAAAGTGGCTAACTAGAGACCAAGACAGCCACTTTCGAGCCGTTTTCCGGCCAAAACACGGTGCGTTAGCCATCTTAAAAGATACCATTCTCTTCGTCTCGTCGAGAACTATGATTTTCGTTTTTGAATCAATTGATTTCGTTGAGTATTGAAGAAGTTACGAACGTGTAAAGTTTACCCAGTTTCCGGCGAGTTTTCAAGTTTTCCCTCGGACCAGTCAACTTTGAAGCTATTTTCCGGCCATCTCCGGCAACCATTGGGCTTCCAAATAGGTATAATCTTATTCTACACTTTCCTATTTTCATTTTGATATATTATGGGTCGAATTTGGTTAAGAAACAATTGAGTTACGAAGTATTGAAAATTGCCCAAACTTTCGACCAAAAGCTCTAGGACACTCAACAGAGTTTTTAACGAAATAACCAAAATGATGAATGGTGGACAATATCATGGACCACTTTTATCGATTTGAAATGTTAGGGACCGAAATGATAAGTTATGCAAATCTCAGAGATTATTTTGGCTATTTAGCCTATTTTCTTATTGAATGTCTGAACTATGAAGGATTGAACTTCTCTTTACTCTAACAATATTAAGTTTGGTGTTCGAACTTCGATGGATGTATTTCTTGGGCTCACCATCTTTATTTTTGCGTACCGTTTGACTTGGAGGTCAAAAGTTTACTGCTACCCCATGGGGTAGGTGTCATCCAAGCCTGCCTTGAAATTTTTTTCCCAATTTGTTTCTTGCTTTTTGACATGTTTCAGTATTTTGATCTACATTATACATAATATCTTAAATAAAAAAGAATAATATATTTGATTTTGGCAGAATGCATCCCGACAAAAAAGCAAGTAACTATCGTTAAAGATTTTATAAATTTTAGATATAAAGAAGCCTAAAGCTAACATGGGGCTAGATGCGCAGGCATGCCTACAAGCTAGCTAGCTATGATGGCTGGTGAGTGAGTGAGCCCTACGTGTTGTTGGCATTTGTTTCGGGAACGAAATACCACATGTCACAATACAATTAAAGAAACATTTAAAAAAATTCTTTTAATTATATAATAACATATGATATTTCGTACCAGATTTTGGCAGGTTGAAAAATCTATCTCGTTTCGGAATTGAAGGTCAATACACGTGGAAGGGGAGACCAAGGTCAATTTTTGCTTTCATTTTTGTTGGTCCGTAAACTTCTTAAGAATGTATGAAATAAGGACTAAGGAACGTCGGTTACAAAAGTTGATAACGTTGGTGATGAGTGTAGTTAAGTTTGATTCATTTTTTAGTAGTACAAACCGAAGTGCTGACTACGTCAACAGAAAAACATTTCAGATTGGCACCAAAAATGTCACAACTTCTGTAGACAGTGAAAATGGATGAGAGAGAGGAAAAAGAAGGGGCTAATGTTCTATGTTAATAAAGTGTTTTGAAAACTTTTAAAACGCTTAAGTAAGATATATTTAAATGTACCCCCATGTATTAAGGGTATTTTGGTTAAAGTAGATGCGTTACCGAAATGTCTTTAAAAAATGATCACGTGTTATTCGATTAACTTTACAAACAAAGCTGCTTTAGATCTTTATTAAGCACACTCTTTTTTCTATTACGTTTGAGACGATAGTACCATGAAGATACCCTAATATTAAGCACACGCTCTCCCTCTCACTTGCAAAACACCAACTTAAAAGACCAGAAAACGTTGAAGGCTAAAGTAGAAAAACCAAAAACATCTGGGGGTAACGTAGAAATTAACCATAATTCATAAACAAATAATATTAATAAAAGGTATCTCTCTATGCAAAAATGGTGATACAATGTGTTTCGAACATACTAAAAAATTTATCTAATAATCACGCCTTGTCGCACATGCGTCGAGGTGGATTCGATACGATCCGGACCACGTGATCCTCTGTGGTGGCTCCTCCCAAACTCCGTTTCGATTAAGGGCCCACTCCCTGCATGCATGGCAGCCCCGGCCAGTGGTCCACTGGCATCAAATGCAGCGACGGGTTCCCACATGTACTGACGGCTGTCTGTCGGCCAGGATCGCGCCACGTCGCAGGTAGAGTCCGAAACCATCACCAGCAAAAACAGCTATAAAAAGAGCCTAAAAGACGACAGTAAAATTGGGAAAGCGACGGATCATGTTGGCGTGGAGATTCGTGACGCCCCCCCTTCTGCTCCGTTGAGATCCTGTCGGCATTGGACTTTTGATTCATTCAATTCATTCAATTAAACTCATGTCGTTTTAAACTCCCATGATAGAATCATTGTGCTTATCTTAATCATATCCGCATCAATCAGTCACTCTTAATTGCGTGTTAATTACTTCATAATGATGTTTGATTTCCCTCATCATTTGCTTGTCCCTCTTGTCATAGATATTCACAATTTCCTTTTCAACGGCATTTATTCCCCAATTTTCTTCTTTAAACATTATTGTGAAGCATATTATAATTGAAGAATGGTACAAATTATATAAAGTTGTTGATGCACAAAATCGGAGGTCTTGGAATAACGTAAATCCGACCGTGAATTTGCAAATAATGTAAATAACACAAGATGTATCGTGGTTCATCCAAGGTTTGGGCTACGTCTACACTGATTGTATTTATTTGAGGGAGAGAGAGAGAGAAGGAGCTCTATAATGTGAGAGCTTTGAGAGGGGGTGAGAGGCTTAGGGTTTGTGAGGGTGAGGAGACCCTTTTATAGAATAAGGGCTCCTCCCCTAATTACATATTTGCCCATTCCTTTATTACATAATTACATTTAAGTCCTCCGAATATTTATACGAGGTCTAAATACGAGACCCTAAATATGATATAAACAAAAGTAAAGTGGGATTTAGCAACTAGAATAAGCAACTCTAGAAAGCGAGATGACATTGCATCAACGACTAGTGAACGGTTGCTTATTCATGTATAGTTGTCAAAGTTCAAAGAGAAACGTCAATAAATTTATATTATATTAAAAGCTTTTACAATAAATGACTCGGTCGAAAACCCAAATCCAAATTTTTTTGTGTTATAGTAATTAGTAGTGATTGATACCTTTGAGGCCGGATATTTGTTGATTGTTGCAAAGGATAATGTTCCCTTAGTGACCTTACCTAGTCAAAAGCACTATGTGGCACACCCACGACTTTCAAACACACCTGCCACGGCAGCACTCAACTAAAAATCCCCTGTTCGTTCAAGCTGAATTGCCAACCATGTCCAAATGTGCAGTGTCACAAAAAGCACTTCTTGCGGTGTCACAAAAGCACTTGTTTAATCATATTTGCAACAGCAGCTCAATCTCGACGGCTTACTCAAACCCTCAAAAAGAAAATTGATTTTACAGTTTTACTTTCCAGTTTACCCAATATACCAGGTTTGAGATTCTGTAGCAGTAGAATATATGTACAGTTGCACACTAAACCGTACACGTCGGAATTCTGATTGACAAGTTCCAGGCCGGACTCGAGATCAACGAAGGGATTGACCGGAAGCTTTGCATTGCAACTTCAGAGAGCACGATTTACAACTAACCGAAAAGCGTCCTAACATACAGACATTAGACAGAGACAACGGACCTAGTTTGCCTAATGAGACGCTCAAGAACATGACTTTATCAAACCCAGGTTGTAAAGGAACTTCTCCGACCTAGTGCGAAAGAGATTGCCCAAAGAGAATCTCCCACTCTCCTGCGGTGGAGATTTTGAACAGAAGTCGTCTTGCAGACTCAGTAATGCCAAGCCAATCTCTTGCCGAACTGCTTCAATTGTCTCGCTCTTGACTTGATTTCCAGATGCATCGGTCACATAGAATACATTCACAGCTTGGGAGCCCCTGGTTGTAACCTCAGCTCGGGTGACTGAAAGACCGTTTTCTCTAAATATGCGTGTCACATCAGAAAGAAGGCCGGCTCTGTCATCACCACAAAGCTCTAGTCTTATACCCTGCATTAGAAATGATGCATTAACTTCAAAATGCTATGTGAAATTGGGAAAAGTATATTTCGAAATAGAAATTCCAGTGTGTCTATACCTCAGAAGTCCGTCGTCTAATAGCAGCTTCCAAGCAATGGATAACCCTCTGCCTTTCTCCTTCAGAACTAATAGGGCAGCCGTCGGTATGTCTTATATAATATTCCTATCACACAAATTTACAATGTTAAAAGAATTAGATATTTGTGTTCATTACAATAATCAAATTAACCTAACTACTGCAACCAGGAAAAAACAAATAAAAACACAACTTGAGGGAAACAAGGAAAACCTGATAAGCCTCTGGTCCTTCAGCAATCACAGTTGCATGATAAACCACATACTCCATATCTGTTAAAGTGCACACCGTGTCAAAGAGCAACTTAGGACGGTCTGGACACCTCAAGTTCACAACAGTATATCCTTTATCGACACAATTTTCAACGGTTACAAGTGGTTTGCTACGGTCACTGGCTACAGAGTCCGCATTATCCATGTCATAATCACGATCAGCGTACATCATCTGGTGAAGCCTCCTCTCCTTATGTGTGGAACCAACAGAAACAGCGGTGTTGGCACTGCGCTTATCTCTGTCCCCCTTAAGCACATAAAGGAGAAGCTGTTTGATCTTGGTAAGATGCTCAGGATCATCAATGGGCCTCCCAGTTTCCTCGTCGGTGATGTACACAACTGATGCCATTCTTGAATTGTGAGTCCAGACTTCTCCAGCAACCACATTGCATTTGAGGTTCGAAAGAACAGCAAAAACTTCAGAAAGCAAGCCTGGCCTGTCCCTTCCAGTCAATTCAATAGTAGTGTGTTCTGCGGCAGCTTGGACACCCACGGACCTTCTCAAGGATCGGAAGCTTCGTGCTCTTGGTCCCAGTGACTGCAAAATTTGAATTCAATAATCAAAATGACTTAGAACTTACATGGATTCACATATAATTTTGCAACTTATTTCAAGCACAAACCAAAAACCAAGCACTTTTCTTCTTTGTCATCCGCCAACAAAGTGAACCTTGCTTTAAAATGCGAACATATGCAAATCGATACTAATACTTAGTTAATAAATGCAACAAGACTCGGGCAAATTATACCATGATAAAGCTAAAAGATGCAGCGATTAATCAAGTTTGCTATAAAGGGAATTGTTATTAGCACTCCAAAAATCTCATTTGGCACTTCAGACTTTCTATAATTAGAAAGAAAGAGGGTGTAGAATGAGATTTTTGAAGTGCTAATAACAGTTCCCACTGTAAATTCCACCTATTAAATATCAGTCTAAACCCCATTCTCAATTTCGCCATTACACCGGAATTCCATATTTGGTAAACTAGAAGAAACAGAGCTATTAGTTCCTGGGATCTACCTGTTGAATGCGTTCCGCGATTCCGTCATCAGAGAGCTTATTCCCCTGTTGGTCAGTGACATGAAAAACTGCAAAACATTCATTAAAAACAAGAAATTCAATCATAAATATTACGAATTTGGGATAACACAGTACCTGAAAAACTCAAATTATAAAAAATTAAAAAAAAAAAAAAAAAAAAGCTCACCATCCATGAACCATTCGCCATCAGAAGAAATATAAGCTCTTCTTATAATGAGATTCAAATCATTCAGAACCTGAACCACCTCCAGCAAACTCCCACGCTTATTCGCACTGTCTACCTACAAATTTATCAAAAAAAAACAAAAAACCATTGTTAAAATTATATAATAAAAAATTAAGAAAATAGTGACCCTTTTGGATTCCTTGCAGAATACAATTCAAGAAATTCAGTCAGATACCTTAATCAGAGTGGCTTTCCTGCCCGATGCATTATCAACTGTAACCCTATAATTCCCATATCAGCAAGAAAACATATCAGAAAACAGTAAAAAAAATGGAGAATTTCAGCTCAAGAAACATTGATATTTCAAGAAAACAAGCAAAACCCATTTTTTTAGAGCAAACAATTCGACCCCGAAAAATCCCAGAAACGAATAGGAGAGTGAATTTACATCGGGGGGTTGATTCTCATGGCGAGCTTCTCGAACTCGTCGTCGACGGCGAGAGAAGGGGACCAACAATCCATAGGGGAGAACGAAATGGGAGAGGCAATTCAGTTATTGGGATTCCAGAACGGTAAAAACTGATGGGAAAAAAGGAGAAAAGGTTGGAGCTTTTGTTCTTTCTTCTCTCAGTCTCTGGGAGTTTCTGGGTAGCTTCATAAAAATGTAATGAGGGGAGGGGGGGAGGGGGTGGTTTTGTGTGTGGCTGTGTGTTTAGTGTTGGTTGGGTGGTGGTGGCTCTTGAGCTGGACCAAGAGTTTTGGAGGGACAAAACAACAAAATATAATTAACAAAAATATTATAATAATTTATAAAGAAAACTAATGAAAAGGATTTGAAAACTTTGAGTTTTAATGATAAAGACAAAATAAAGGGTAAAGTGAATAGTAACAGGATTGACTTTTTAGTGTAAAAATGTGGTTTTTCGTTAAAATGAACAGTACCGAGAGATTTTCGTTAAAGTTCCCTAATTTATATTAGTCATAGCATAGATACTATGTCTGATTATCAATATTGTAAAACCAAAATTCACATCAAGAGAGAATATAAAATGGTCGTTAAGATTTTCACAACATTCAAACGACTTTTTGTCACCAAAGCGGTGGTAAAAAAGTTTCTGAATAACTATTTCGATCTTAAAAGTGTATGTTATTCGGGAAAAAACGTGAAAGAGAAGATGCGGGTAATTGATATATTTCTCTTTTTGTTATATTTTTTTTAGCTTTGTTGACAGGGTTAATTTGTTATTCTCATATTCTTTTAGTTGACAAATATTTTTTTGTTAATCAGCGATCTAAAATACTATTTTTACCATGTATTTATACCACTTCTCTCTAATAAAGATAAAACTCATATGTATTAGTGACTTGCTGGTGGAGAAAATGTACAAATAAATAATAAGTATGGCCGTATCTCGGGTGATTTAGATATGATCCATTGAAATTATTATAAAATTGAAAATATCGAAATGGAAACAAAATATTAAAAAATAAAAAATTAGAGGCGCACGCGAGTATTAAGTGAGTGAGTGCCAAGTGGGGCCGATCTCACCCTCATAAACTTGGTCTTTCCCTGTTATTCTCTCTCGTTCATTCTCAAGAAAAGAAGGCGGCTAATTTTTCTCTTTCTTATTTTGATTATACTATTTCTTGACGTACTATGATTCTCTAATATATGGGAAGACGAATTCAAACTCGGATTGTCAACGAGAAGGAGAAGGAGAATCGAAATTGAGCATAAAGTGAGAAAAATAGTGTAATGTGACTAATGTCAATCCATCTAATAAGCATAATCTCTCTTCTTTTTTTATTTCTTTTTTTAAATCGATCCTTTTAGCCGCCTGTAAACTGGTCGTACAAATTAGACTAGTACTAATGACGTGTTTTAAATGATTAGGGACCTAGGGTTAGGCTCGTTTGGTTTTAGTGTATGGATTAGATTAATCTACTACTTTATCCTTTTGTCTTTATTTTTTGGGGTCAAACCTTATCCATTTGTGTTTTGTCTATGCACACACACTCTCTCTCTAATAAGATGGAAATCGAGTAGGATTATGCTGTGCTTTTCAGCTTTAGGGGATCCGTCGTCCCTCCGAGTTAGGGAACCCTACCCTTATTTCTTAATTATTCGAAATCTAGGAGGATTTTTTGTTGGGATTTTTTTCATTTTTTTTTCATTTTTTTCATTTTTCCAATCTAGAAGATTTATTTTAAGGAAACCTCAGCAAGTCTCATCTATCTCATTCATTGTATTATTGTCCCAAAATTCTGAGGGGAATTTAAAAAAAAAAAATATATATATATATATATATAAAGAGCTTTCTGCTTCTAGTAGGGCTGTCCCAAGCTGGATGAATCCCCTTTTGTCCAATTTGACCTTTAGTACGAGAAAGAACATAGGTTTAATATGTCATTGTATTGGAAAACGTTTGTTACGTACTAGATTGAGTGACAGGTATTGTCGAGTTAAAATGTCTCGTGTGTTTTACAGTTCTTAATATAAACAAAAATTACAACACATCATGACTTTCTTAGTTTCTCACCACTATGTTCCTCTATGAATTTCTGAAATATCCTAAAGTGCTTCTTTTATTTAATTTCTTTCTTAATTTTGTAACGGACAAATCACCGACAACGTTGGCATTGAATAAAGCCAAACACCAGTGCAGGAGTCGAGACAACAAGCACCAAGGTGTGAGAAAACGCGCAAGTGATAGTCAAGGTGGCATGAAGGTTAACGTCAGCTGTTGGTATCCAAAATCTTAATGTAGTCACAGTTCTTCACAGTTTAAGTGATCAATAGACAAGTATAGTAATCAAATATCTTTTATATAAATGTGGACCGAAACTCAAGAAAGAGAATAGTACATCAAAATAGCACGAGACTTGGCAACCTTAACTAATAACTTATTTGACACTTTTTGTTAAAATGACCTGAAACGCTTCCGACAACATTTGAAGAAAAAACAATATAAGTGCTTAAATATTCAAGATGATTTTATTGTAGGTGAAACAAAATCGCTTTTAGAAAATTTTGGGTATAAGAAATGTATTTCATTTAATATTACCCGAACTTATGGGCATCCTCCCCCACCCCCACAACTTTGGCATATTGTACATCAAGTTTATAATTCGACAACATGTTTAATGGAAAATACTTGCCAAACTTGTTCATATTCTGTGCAGTATGCACCGTCGGATCAAATTCCACCCCGGACCCCTTGACGGCTACGCACTTCAGCGGCCTACGAGGAATGGAGGGCCCCATCCTTAACTTAATGGCGATGGAATAAAAATATGGATTATTTGAACCAACCCACCATATCTATGATTCCATATATTTGCATTGCAAGTGCAACATATTAGGCTGGTTTGTAAGTGATTTTAAAATGACAAATAATATTTTTTGTGATATTGATATTGGGTTTTAAAAGCACTTAAGTTTTTTTGTAAGAAGCACCAGATATGTGTTTTTTTTATGCTTCTTGCAGGAAGCACTTAAAGTGTTTTTTTTCTTCAGAATCTACTTGAATTTTTACTAAGAATTGGTTTCAAAAAAAAAAAATTCACCAAAGCGCTTTCAGCCATTTTAAAAGCACTTCAGAACAAATCCATTATCTTTTTTGTCACCTATTTTTACTTTTCACACTCTTATTATTTTTTAACCATTAATTATCTTCATTTCATTCGATCGAAGAACAAAAAACTAACTAAGTGTGTGAATATCACCGCGTATTATTTTGGGTTAGCAAAGACCTTAAACTAGTCAAACAAATGAAAATCACATGGGCGCATTAAAGGGCATAGCAGGGCCATACAGAAACATAGCACTTGCCAAAACCACTATTCTGCAGGATCTGCACATGATACACACATGGAACAAGCACAACCTAAGGAGGCACTTAAATAAACCAAGTGGGCCTAAACCCTCTTTACTCGTGCAATTTTCCACACAAGAATCTTTTTAGTGTTACGATCACACTGTGTTGAATACGAGTGTCACCAAAATTATCGCTAAAGTTTGTGGTGTGGTTTTCTTATTAGAAAGGTAATCAAGTTATTAATGTTTTAGCTTCCATCGGTGTAGCTGCTATTGCTTATTACTTGTGATTCACGGTTTTAGATTTTGTATATTCACACCCTGCTTGTAAAAGAGTTGATAGAGAGGCAGCTGCGGTGGCGGTATCGGCATGGGATTGGCCATTTTTCCAAGACATGAGCAAGATTCAAAGAAGCATGGCATTGCCAAATTTTTATGCAATTAAAATTAAACAAATAGATTAGCTGCGAATAAGTTAATCATACCATTCGTGGCGTTGGCGTCACCGTGGTTTGTGACACATTGACACTCGTCAACAGACCATATGGGGGATCTTCGTATGCGACATGGGGCACCCGCCGCACCAAATATTATTAGATAATGGGAAATTTTATTTAAACCCACGTAACTTATATCTACACCCAGTTTACTCACTACACCCATATTATTTTTAATTAAACTATCAATATATTTTTAAACCCAAATTTATTACCTAAACTACCCTCACAAACTCAATTCAATATGTAAATTTATCTTTACACCCATGATATTAACTTACTGAATTTGGGTTCTTTCCGAGTTTTCTGATTGCGGTGACGGCGAAGTCTCCCTCTCTCCTCTCGCTTTCTCCTCTTCATTTAATATTGGAGCTTCGTCATCTCTTAGAATATGCTCCCCTGAGCTTACAAGAATGGAGTAAGCAAAGGAAATCTCATCTGCTCCTTTCTTTTTCGTGGAGCATGATGCAGCAACAAATATTGATCATGTAACAAATAAAAGAGTAGGCTGAGATTTGCACCTGAAGAACCAAAAAATGAGTGTTTCTTTGACAGCGATGGCCTTCAATTTTCACGAAGATCAGACAGAAGATAGTCCCTACTCGTGGGATAAGAGAAAGGATTTATGCATAAGCGTCATTACCAGCTATTATCCTATGATTCTGTGCACCCAGCAAGGTAAATATTTTCTTCTGCTTTCCCTTCATTTGTTGCAATTTTCACCATGGATCTTGCTTGTTTTTTGGTTGTCATGGTAAGAGTTTGATTATTGGGTTTTGGGTTCGTTGATACAATTTTGTTTTATTGTTAAATTCATTTTGTACTTTATGGTAATAATGCAATAGGGTCAAAAAGACACTTCTCATTTAAAATTTAAGCTGAGTGTAGAAAGAAGTTGCATGGGTTCAAATAAAACTTCCCTTAGATAATTACCTCCCAATAAAATACAACAATCAAGCAAACTCCATTTAAATGCAAAACATTCTTTAAAATGCTAATCATACTTAATAAAAAATAATCATCATCTAATGAATTGAGTGCAACTTTTTCTTTCTTATGTTTTTAGAGTTTAGAGCATTAAGTGGCGTTTGGTTTTTGATTTTTGATTTTTTATTTGAGGAAATCGATATTTTTACACTAAAGAGATGGTGAGTTCAGCTAAACCACCTAAGAAGTAGCCTAATTTGGTAGAATTCGCTATCCACGAGATTCGAACTCAATACCTCTCACTTTTGAGCGAAGAGGAATATCACCAAATCGTAATTTGATTTTCGAATTAAGTTTTGTTAGAATGAAATTCTTGTCTATTTATAAAGCATGTTTACTTATTTCACTTAATAGAAGTCAGAACGAGAATGACACTTGACTATTCGTATATGAGATA